ATGTGCAAAGCAACCTTCTTCAGACAAAGAAGTGCGCTTTGCATACGAAAGCTTGCACTTTGAATAAAACTTTGCTGGTCTTAAAGGTGCCACTGGACTCAAACTTTGTTCTGCTGCTTCAGACCAACAAGGCTACCGCACCTGAATAAAGAGACTGTGGGTGATTTCCCAGAAGCGCTGCTCCGCGCTCACTCTCGTCTACTCAGTCCTCAAAAAACAGGATTGAGTAGACACGGGGAAAATCGCACGAAGCTGCGGGGCAAAATGCGGTCACGCAGCAGCTTGTGTGAAATTGAGACGTACTATCGGGCCAAAGAGAAGAGTGAGTGCGGAGCAGTGCTTGTGGGAAATCTCAATCCTCAAAAAACAGGATTGAGTAGACGCGGGGAAAATCGCACGAAGCTGCGGGGCAAAATGCGGCCGCGCAGCAGCTTGTGTGAAATTGACACGTACCATCGGGCCAAAGAGAAGAGTGAGCACGGAGCAGCGCTTGTGGGAAATCACCCTGTGTCATGGTAACGGGCTTGCCCCACCCCAAACACTGGACCCCAGTAAACTGTTCCTCTTTTCCCGCAATGAGGGACTGTATTTGGCGTTGCAGGTCACAAATGACACAGGTTTGGTTTAGCCAGAATTGCTTAGGAGGGGTGAGCGAGGAGCCTGACAGGCCTGCTTGCAAGCGGCTTACTCCATTTGTAACTCGAAAGTAAGGGGGAAAGAAGTTGTTGCAGACATAGTCAATAGTAAGTCTGTATTCCTCAGCAAGAAGGCAGCTCTCTAAGTCCAAACGAAGTCGGCAGATTTCAGGAGGCACCCAAAGATGTATTAATAAAACAGAGTTGAATAAATTAATAAAATAGAACTTTGACATCTATTCAGCATACATCTGGTTCACAGTGAGGTTTCTCCACATAAATCCATTAGGGTTGTCGGGGGGCCCTGGTGGGCGGGGGATCCCCTGGTTTCTGGCGCTTCTCCCCAGCACTGGCCAGCTAGTTGGCACGGAAGTATTACCGCCCCCAACATGACGTGCCCACCTCACCCGGAAGTGACATAGGCCCGTCAGTGATATTGGGGGCGTGACGCTCTGGATTTTGGGCAAAACTCTATGGTAGAATCAGAGGTCATTTCGGGGGGGATCGCGGGGGATTGCAGTTCCCCCGGGTGAGGTACGGGGGGTGGGGCACATGACGAAACCCCGCCCCCTGCTTCTGGCCGCCCCGCTTCCAGCCCTCATTCAGCCAGGAGGAGGCAGGAGAAGAGGGGAGGGTAAGTTGCTTCCTCCCTGCCTCTCCCCCCCCCTGCCTGCCTGGGGCCAGGGAGGGCCTTCGCGGGGCTTCCTCGCACTCCCGCCAGCCTTGCAAGTCCACCGCCGGGCCCCTCATGGGGCTCGGCAGTGGAGCTGCAAGGCCGGTGGCAGTGGCCGGGACCGTTGGGGGCGGGGTGTGTGGCCTTATGACACACTTCCGGTGATGTCAGGGGGTGTGGCATATGCTAATGAGTTATGCTAATGAGTTCCCCTAGCTCTTTGTCTACGAAACGACCCCTGGGTAGAATTCACTTCAAAACAGAGAGTTTTGCCTCAAAATCAGACACACATCACCGACATGCCTGCATCACTTCCGGGTGTCGTAGGCACAGTGTGCTTTTTCCTCCCCTCTTCCAGATTATCCCAATGTCCCCCCGCCGGCTCGTCCTTTGGACCTGGCAACCCTAAAATCCATGCATGAGGAACCATACTGAAGGGGCAAACGGCTTCACATGTGTGAACCCCCTTGAGTGATGCTAATGTCCTTGATATATTTTTGAAACAGTATTATCCTGTTCCTCAGTCTAAGAAGTTTGCCTTGCAGAAAACCGAGTCTGTTGCTGAGAGAAAACAAAATGGCTTCCTGGTTATTATCTAAAAGCCGTCCCAAAGTAGTTATTTGGGTGTGAATTGACAAGAATATCAATTTTCTTATTGAAGCTGCCTGAACTGGGGCACACTTTGCCCTCGTCTGACAACACTTTGTTCTCGTGGAGGGTGTGAATTTAAAGAAAAACAGTTAAAACCGGATTTCAAGAATGCGCCCCATGAGGTACTTTCAGGAAATGAAAGGTGCATTTAGGTCTTGCAGCATAAACAAGGGCTTCAAAGAGGGTAACATGGGGACAGAAAAATCTATGTTTGATGCTACAGGCATAAGTGGATCAGGTCAATGGCTGTTCTAAAACAACATCACTGGTTTCTTCCAACTAAGCATGAGTGCAAACATGCGCTCTAAAAATTAACAGGAACCTAACCTCAACACTGATGTGAATGGGTCGATCCGGGCTCACGTGGTAGCTCCACAGGCACATTGGAGCCCCGTGGTACTCGGGGGAGGGCAGTTTGCGTAAATTTTATGCCTTATATAACAGTTTTATCTGGTGTTCCTATAGTTGACCTTGGTGAACACCATGTGA